ATCTATTTAAAAAAAGACGCATTACAATCCATTGCGTACTTTTAAAGATCTAAGCACACATAGGGACAGACAGCGGGGGAAATGCGTTGCATGATTTGGTTACATAGCAACTCGCATGAAACGAACTTACCCTAGCGTGCGCAAAGAAGTTTCACTTCAAAAAGGCAAAAACAATAATAACAAGAACGAAAAAGCTTACCAAGAAGCAGTTGTCAAAGTTAAACTTGTATGTTCACATTTGTTTATTAAATACGAAATAAACTACGCCGCTCTCGATTATTGTAGATTATAAGGAATAATTAGTTCACACGCAATTTCTAGGGAATTCTAAAATTGTAAAAAACACCATGAACCTTGATTACTATCTGACATAAGCTAATAGAGAAAGAGAGAAGGAGACATACCTCGCCACCATACTGATTTAACAAGAAACTCTGATTTTTCATTGTTTCTGTAGTTACGAAATCTCCGAAATCACAATAAACAAATTGTCGAGCGAATTTAACGTTGGCTGGTAATCGTTTGTTTACGTAGTTTAATGTGTGTGAAATTCAAGTTTGTTAGAATGTGTTTTATTCGCCAACAAAACGTAATATACAGTTTTTTCTTGCAAGAAAACTTGCGAATAAAGAATGATATAACATCGTTACGATATTAATCGCATGCATGCTAATCGTAAGTTCAGATGACGTGCGTCACACGCGCGATTGAGTAAAGCGCGTGCGGATACACATATACATCAACACCATATATGTATGAAGGTAGCATTTATATTAGAGCACGTGCACGCATGGATAGGCGCGTTAATAGGAACAATGCTGTATCTAGTTTCGCAAATGTTGAAATAGTACCTATTGATAAGTATTGAAATGATCAGTTGAGAATATAATAAAAGAGAGTATAAATGGGTCATATCCTTATAGTATAGGTATAATAAAGGATTACAATACATAGACTTATTTAATGAAGCGATTATCTGAACCGGTATCAGTACCTTCTAGCCATTTTATTATTTACTTTAAGTAGTGTGTACATAGGATTTGTAGTTTTAGAAAAAATATTTGACACTGTTAAATGGGACAAGATGTTAAAATTACTTAAAAATATTGAGATGAGTTACAAAGATAGAAGAGTGATACTTAGTTTGTATAAAGAACAACAGGCAGTAATAAAGCTAGGGATGCAACGTAGAGAAGTAAATATTAGGAAGGGAGTCAGACAGGGATGCACACTGTCACCGCCACTTTTTAATCTACACATCGAAGACGCGATCAACGTTATTAAAGACAATACAACTGTCGGGATAGATATACAGGGGTAAAAGATTAGTATGCTTAGATTTGCAGATCATATAGCAGTATTAGCATCTACCAAGGGGGACTTACAGATAGCTTTAATAAAATGGAAGCAGTACTGACAGATCAGTACTGAATGAAAATAAATAAAAGTAAAACTAAAATTCTGGTATGCAAGGAAAGAAAAAGTAGGGAAAGAGCGAACATATAGTTAGGAGACGAAGTAGTGGCTGATTTTAGATATCTAGGAAGTCAGATAAGTTAGGACGGAAGGAGTAGTCGGGATATAATGCAGAAGATAGCGCAGGGTCGTGTCGCCTTTAATAAAAAAAAGTCACTTCTATGCTCGCGAACGGTTAATTTAGAAATTCGAAAAAGGTTGTTAAAGGTGTACGTTTGGAGCGCGGCGTTGTACGGGTGCGAAACATGGACAGTGGACGCGGCGGAAAAGAAAAGGTGGGAAGCTTTCGAAATGTGGTGTTATATGGGCGAATGATGAGGATACCGTGGATAGAGAAGGTTAGTAATGAAGAGGTATTAGAAAAATTAGGAGAACAGAGGACTCTATGGAAGTCAATAAAAAATAGGCGAGATTGGTTGGTATGACACCTTCTCAGGTATGAAGGTCTAGTTAGAGACGTATTAGTGGTAGAAACAGAAGTTAGGAGGGGTAGAGGTTGACCTAGGTTAGATTACTATTCGCAAATAGTTAAGGATGTGGGTCTTAGGACTGACGACCTTATGATGATGCAAAAGTAGAGTACTTTTGAATTTTTTAAAAAAAAGGTACTTACCTAATTGTCTTCTTTTGGGGTTACACTTCCGATAATCTTGAAATTTTTAGCGTGCTGGTCGAGGATGTACATGTATGTGTTAGCTTTTATTTTTGCTATTTTAACAAAGAATATTGTTGTGAAATGTTAGTTCATTATGTGTCGTGTTTTCTGCATTTATTGTTATTTGAATTTACCTTGCGAATACGCGAACCCGAACCTCTGCGATCTTGTGAGTTCTCAGCTCGATTCCAAAATCGCTTGTTTTTCCGCGTCTCTCTTCCGTACCTTTAGAACAGGTAGAAATTTCCCCGGTACATTCAACGGTGCATAAGCGGCTCGAAATGGCGTCCTGTTAATGCTAACTGTCCTCAATCAGCCCTGCAAGTTACCAAATCATAATAAAGCGTGATACAATCGGTAGTATTTGCAACGGGTTTTCTTGCTCTTACACCTTATGAGCTTCTGAATGATTCTTACCAACTGTTACGTACTCATTTATACTTGTATGTTGCAAGTTGTACCTACTACCCACTATTACTAAATGTTTTTCTTTATTCTTCATGTATCTGTTTTTAAGTGTTTCAGCCCACTTATATACGTACTCTACTATTACCATTTTTGGTAAATGTTATTTCGATGCTTTACTCTTCAACTAAATGCTACGTGGTAGGGACCTGGTACTTTCAAATGCCTAGTGCTTTACCTAATCATTCTTCAAATATCTGGTGCTTTACCTAACCACAATACATTTTAATTTTTAGTTATCCATTGCTTCTTGTTGGCTTCTTCAAGGACCTTCTTTTTCTTGCAAGTAGCTATAGCCGGACTGCAAGCGCTGATTTTGCTGTGAACTTACTTTTTCTGTAGCTGTAGACTTCTTTTGTCATTGCGGATGCAAAAGAGTAAATCATTGTCAACTTGGTAAATGGCAAATCGCTGACTTATTGCCTTCTGACCGTAGACTATTTCGTATTACGTATCACCAAACCCCGTCATTTGTTTATCAAACTTTTCTCCTGGCTAAACAACCAGGCACGGGCAAATTTCCCGTTTTGCTTGATAACGTCTTTCTCCTTGATAATTAAAATTGGAAGGACTGTCTCTTCCTTTATGATACATCTCAGAACCATTTTGCCGACTTCTCGTAAACCTTTTTTGATGCACACGCCGGCATTTGCCACATTGCTTTTGTTCACCACAAGTTTGTATGTTTAAGTCATCTTCATTTCCTCAAAGTTTTAGTAGATACACGGAGCAGGAAACAATATTGTGTGACAATGAAGACCTGACAAAATGATCGTCCTTAGTGTTAGAAGTCTATAAATATCTCTATTCGATCATAATCATTCTTTTTCTGTGATTTGTAAAAAAATACCTTGTGATTACCAGACAGGTAATTTTGAATTTTTACAATCAAATATAAAAAGTTGGAAACAAGCGGATGAAACATATTTTTTCGTCCAAACTGTGTCAGATACAAATGAAATATATAAGAAAAGTATCTTTTCAGAATAAACATTGGAGTAAGTTATGTAAACATACCAAGTTCTGAATATTGTCCAAATTAACTAAGTCTGCCATCTAGCATGGAATCAAATAATAATTAATAATTTTTTTTTCGTATTTCTCACTATTTTCAGATACTTTCAGTTTGAAAGTGAAAATTTCAAATCCGTTGAAAGATTAGGGCATATGCGCCAATGTTACGTATTGTATTTCTCTACCGTTCACATAATAAGTAAACTGGAAAACTTCATAAACGGTTAATTTAAAAAGAGCTTGAAGGGTATCATTTATTTTATCGTTGATTAATTATTTATTTATTGAATGGTATGATATTGTATATTATATCCAAATTTATTTTATAGGAATACTATTCTTAAGTAACTAATACTCATGATATTTAGTATTCCGTAAACATACCAATTTTGCATTGAAAATACCAGCTTTTTTGCCACAACAGTACCAGGTTTCCTAATTTACCTCTAACATCACTGATTCGAATCCCTTTTCTTAAATGGCAGTCATCGCAACTGCAGCTTTGTAAGCGAGCGGGTGCGTTGTCTTGATGGGATTCCAGCTCATAGTTATAATCTTTTCATTATTTAGCCTGTGTTAAGAAATAGTGACTTCATTTTCCAATGATTCCACATAATTATTCCTTCAGCGTCCCGAAAAACGAACGTGACAACTTTTCCCGACGAACTTGACACTTTGATTTTCTTCGGCGTCAATGAGGAGTTCGAAATCAACGATTATTGTTTGATTCTTTTATTTCATCTACTTTTTTTCACGTTTTCACTTGTTTTAGTATAGTATTTTAGTTTTTTCTAGGTGTAGTTAGTCACAACAATTTAATAGATTAATATTCACCCAATTATGAACAGAACTGCTGGCACAATGCCCATAATGAATAATACTTAGGTATCTGCGTGTGTTTTATTATTTTATTGCAATTGTAAGTTGTAAACAATCGTCATTTACGAATTTACGTACCATCAGCTGAAGTGGCTACGTAATTAACCTGCAGGATAAACAAAAAACGAGTTTCTTGTTTACTTAACTTTGCCAGTTTACGCGTTTCTACGATCGCAGTTTTGTTTTGGCTTTTAACTGTCCGTCTTTGTCTCCTGCTCGATCTTTCTCCCTTCCACCAGTTGTTGTTATTGTTATCTACAGGTCGCGCTGTTATTACTCCTCGATAATCCGCCTTTCGACGCGTGCATTGTAATAAAAATATACATAAGTGAAACGTTACTTGCCGAATCGTAAACATTGTTATTGTTTGATAGGTTTGAATTGCGCTACTCCACAATCGGCTTTTGTCAAAAATCGCTCGCGAATACAATTAATAGGCTAACAGAAAAGTGAGTGTTGTTGAGTGTTTGGTATTTTGTGTTGTTTTTTGTTATTTTTTTTTTTAATAAGGAATAATTATTTCCTTAAGTGCTTGTTAGTTGTATTTTAAGAGTACCGTGCAATTAACATACTCATATTGTAAATTCGCTGTTGATGTTCTCTTGACTACTGTGCGTTATTAAGTGTATTCAACGGGTGGGTGTAACGAAACGTAGGTATTGCTGATATTTTTCTATTATATGAATATTTATTTATTTCTATATGTGCCACCTGCACTGTAATTTATGCTTAAGCCCAAAAAGTTTTATTAAATTCGTATTTTACTTATAATGACATCGGTATTTATGTACGTATGTCAAAAAAATTGTTAAGGAATAAATGATCTGATGAATTAAATAAAGCATGTTTATGAACAGGTTTAAAATTTTGAATTATTTATTCGTAAAAATTTTTCCACTTACGAATTATAAAATGCTTTATGCTGTCGTTCCGTCCATTTCTGTTATGTCCGAACGATGATGAATGATGCAAATGTTTACCATGTTAACATATGTAAAACAAACATAAAACAACGAAGCTAACAAAAGATAATGCTGATAGGTAATGTATATAATATACATTAATATAAAAAACCAAACTAAGATAGCGCAAATAGATAATATATATATATACCTAATACCATTATAAGAAAACGAAACTGAGATAACGCTAATAATATACAATATACACAACGACACTGCCTGATTAAAACTGAAAACTCACAAAATTTAATTAATCGCAATAAACTACACTAGTAACAAAAGAGTCAAATTAAATTCTCAATTTCACTTATTGCTAGTTCAAACAGTACCAAAACAATACTGTGTTGGAACTTACTTCGGCCAAAAGAAGTTTTTAAACGTAGGTCGTACCTGTGCTGGATAAGAAATAAAGCAACTATAAAAGTCTAGCCCTTCTAAGGACCACCTTTCTGATTAACATTAATTAATTAGTAAGTAAAATCTTCAAATATGAAACCATTTATATATGACCCAAAGTGAAAAAAAAACTTTTGGGTGTTTCATTTCCACCAGCCAGTAATGCTGGTGGGCGGACAGTCCCTGCGGACTACGCCGGAAGGTAGGGCGGAAGGCCCTCTTCAGCTTGCTTTCAGGAATCGTGGGAATGGGTGGGTGATGGTTTGGGTGAGAAAGATAAGGCGGTTGAAATGAAGACAGAAGAGAATGAAAGATTATATTATCTGTGGAATATTACTGCCTCAGCATTTGCCTAGGTGATACAAGGAAACCACAGAAAAACTTGGACCAAGGCAGGCGGACCTGGAATCGAACCCCGGCGTCCTTCCGAATGCTAAGCAATGGTCTAAACCTCTAGGGTCTAGGCCATGCCGCTCGGTATCCAAAGCGACTGTCCAATACCTTTACGAAAAGGTATCAACTTAAGCTAGAAAACTACTATTCTTACAATCCATACAGGGTTTCCGGTTTGAAATTCTCTAATATCGGCATGCAGACTTTGAACATTGATAAACCACTAATGTTAGCCAGAAATTACAATTTTATTAATTACGGCCGGCCAATTGTATGCCAGTATTCGACCGATTAAACCTATAAATGTTAGCCGTACGAAGGCTATTACGAGCCACGATCGAAAAATCTTCTAACGTGCAAATTAATCATAAATACACAACTACTAAATATTTAACACCTTCTTTTTAAAATTGAAATTGATAAACTATTTTTTATACTTCATCATGTCCAGAAATATTATAGAGCGAAAAAATGCCGGTTAAAAAAAAACAACAAAACAAAGTAATGAAAATCTGGAGTGTAGTACAAATAGTAGAACAGTTAGAGGTAATGATGATAATGATATTAGTTTAGCAAATAATATATAAAAATAATAATGTATGGTGATATTAGCCTCGCGTTGATAATGCCCGCACGAAAAAGTGGGCGAAACACGTGTCCGCAGTGATTCTAGTTGTAGGGGTAATTTGGGATGAGTCTCTCCTGTTTTTTAGTTATTCTCGTTCAAGTAGCTATCCTTTTTAAAACAAGTTAATAATTATTATCAAGTCTTCATACGCCACATATCTCAAGAAAAACTTAACAACTCTTTGGCTCTTCTATTGATAGAGATAGAAAAATGAACACCATAAACCATGACGATTGTATATATTACTAGCGACCCGCCCCAGCTTCGCACGGGTGCAATGCTGATACTAAATGTATTTTTGTTATGTTTAGATTATTATCGAGGAGGGGAAATCTTCAAAAGACACCCCCTGAACATACTAAATATGCTTTAGAATGTCTTCATATACAACAATCACAGCTTTTTTGTCATTAGACAATACAAACCGGCCGGTACCGCCGCAACCGCTATGTCCCTGCATTTTAAATCTGTAATAACTTCGAAAATATTCATTTAAATTGCATGCTGTAAAGGGCCATATTGATCTATATTAAATGCACAATGTATTTAAAAGTACTTAATTGGATAAGGATTAATGCTGTATTGCTTACAATCACTTCGTAAATAAGCCATTATTTCTCGTAAAAAGTAAACGATAAAAAATGGTTATTGTGGGTTACCCCTAAGAGATAGACATATACCATCCCGGACTTTTTTGTAGACCTTTTTAAGATGTACAATACTGTACTACATTTTTTTGATCTATCTCGTAGGTTTCAGCCAGCGTTTGCAATGTAAGCGCAAAAAATGTGTATATTTACGACATCACATTAGAAACCTCTAAAGTTATCAGTGTTTCCCTACTATATTATACATGTATTATACATATAAATCTTCCTCTTGAATCCCTCTATCTTTAAAAAAAAAAACCGCATCAAAATCCGTTGCACAGTTTTAATGATTTAAGCATACATAGGAAGCTGGAAAGCGACTTTGTTTTATACTATGTAGTGATTCCGCTAATAAAAGCTTTTACGTAAAAAGTGTCTAATAAAGGCCTAAGTAAATAGATTACGAATGAGTGATTACTCGTAATAATAAAATTAATATAGGTAATGAGAAGGAAGAAGGGGGGTATAAAGTAAAGTGGTCTAAAATACCTAACTAAAAAAAAGTACAAATCTGCTACTGATGAGACCACTGTCCCATCTGGACAACTGCAACATTTCGGTGTTGAGTTATTAGCGGGTGCAACCTGTAGTATAGCAAGATAGCAAGACGTAGCTTCAGGAACTAAGCAGAAGTCGCAATTGCCGTGAAAATAAATGAACTAAAACACGGTAGTTGAGGCGGTAGAGAAGATGTCCTTAGTGCTTTCTGCTTTAGCTCATTCGTCTACAATGTACTCACTGATCGTGAGTGACGGAACGAGCAACGTATTTTTTTATACGTGTCTCGTATGGAGCTCGTCTCGTAGGTACATATTCCGTTCTCGTCTACTCAATGTGTGACCAGACATTATATACTGTCTGTCCGGTTTACGTATTGCATTTGCCTCAGCATTACAGAATTACAGCTAAATAAAGCCGTCTGATTAGTCAGGATTTGTCCGCGTTACTCAAAAATTGAATTGATTGAATGATATAATATGCTTTGTCTTAATAGGCTATTACTTTATGTATCTGATTGCTCATGCAAATTCATAAAAGTAATTGAGGATATTTTTGATAAAATTAGAGTTATTAAATAAAACATGTAGGCATCTAAATTTAACACTGTACTTTTGTTTGCAAAAGAAGGGTTCAGTGAACTAATTTTTTATAGAATTGAGATAATCAAGTGGCTTTTGGTGTTTTTTAGACCCCATTTGATAGATAAAAATCCATTTTTTGTTTTTATCGTGTTTATCTAAGGTTAGAACATGAAGTTTCTTATTATCAATATTTATTTTCTAAAAGGAATGCATTTTTACTTTTTTTTAAATTCATCTTTCATTATTGTAATATTAAATATAATAATTGAATTTAAATTATACATTAGATAAATAAGTACAATTTATATACGTTGGTATATACATATATGCAATAAAGGGTGCAGCGTTAATTTTTTTATTTAAATTTTAATACAAAAATACAGCGACATTGATGAAGTGTGAATTATTGTCATTGTCCACGTTGTGTTGATGTTATGATTGTATTTTTTTTATTGAGGTGGAAATGGAGCGTTTTGTCACTAGTGGACATTGCTCCTTCAAGATCGTTAGAGTAATCAATAACGTATTTTATTTTTTTTTTACAGATCGCGTAAAAGAAGACCTAGTTTTAGTAGCCCAGAGGATAGTTTAAAAGACCCACAGATGGATGAGTGCAGTGCTGCGTTAGTTCTCATGAGTTTGTCTGGTTCACCTCATTCGCCCTATTTAAGCGGTATGTTAAATTTCAATTAAAAATGTATTAGGATACTCAAAATGCATACAGTGAGCGACAAAAGTATAGAATATACAGTAGAACTTCTATAACTCGAACATCAAGACAGACACCAAAAAAATCGAGTTTTCGACTTATCGAGGATTTTGACTTAGGCTTTTATTCTTACAATTTTGTGTTAGAGGTGAAATAAATAAAAATTCAAACTTGGAACTAAAGACGTAATAAGTTTCAAATTATCGAGTTGTAAAATATATAAAGCATTGGTATGTTCGAGATGCAGAGGTCCAATTTAATTTTTCGAGTTATAGAGGGAAAATATGTACCAAAATGGCTTGCAGGGACTCACTGATTATTTTGACTAATAGGGGGTTGAGATTTCGAATAATGGAGCTTTTGGGGCTTGAAGGAAAGAGAATAAAAGTTTTTTTGGAGTTTTGGAAGTTTTCGACTTAAAGAGCTTCTACTGTATTCATTAATAAGACATTATTGGTAAACGCATGAACAGGTCAATTTTTAAATATATATATGTATTTCGATATATTTTTGAAAATGGGTTATTGTCCCTACTTTTTCACTAATGACGCAATCGAAAAATTTCCAGTACACAATAACAATACTGCTGGTTGCTTCTGTTTAAACTAATAAATTTATAAAAAAATCCGCCCTAAATCCGAATGCATTAAGTACTGTTTCGCACAATTTTCCAGAAACAAAATTTAATTAAATTATTTGAAGAAAACATAATTTTATAGCGAGAGGCACCTTTCACTTTAAAAATTCAACCATAAAATTTTTTTTTGTTACGGAACATTTGTTAAGGTATGTACGTATATTAAAATAAGTTACGTAAACAATATTGGGTAAATTAGCATCATTAAGATAATTGCAATTTTATTAAGGCAAATATCGACACCACCATTGAAGGATTCTCAAGGCGCCAATCTTTTTTTGCGGGTGGTTTGTAAGTAAACTTACTAAAAATGTCAATTAAGTCTCTAAAAAATTTGACACCACACATTTACCGAAAATAGCTCTTGAAATTGTGAAGGATGTAATACGACATGCGAATTAGTGTCGCACCAATAGTGACTTTGGTGAAAATTAAAAAATTTGTCCCGCGTGAAGCTAATTGGTATGTAAACACCACCCTATGAAAACAATTAGGCTATGCAGCTGTATTCTTCTATTCTATTCTATTCACTCGCGGCTAAAAATAGTCTCAAGCAAGGCTTGTACTAGCTGCAAATGATAAGGATACAGCAACTGTTGCTTTAAAATTTTCCACACTGTCATATGAAAGGAGCCAACATTCCCTGCTATTGCACGTGTACTATTTTGAGGACTGTCTTTTTTGAAATCAAATATTTCGTCTCTACAGCGGCGATATTGTTTAAAATAAGTATTATGCCACATTATTGTAACAACAACTGTTCTATATTGACAAACTGACCTACTCTAATGGTTGACGTTGTACTATTAAATTAGTTTTTTGAACTACACATCGATTTTCTTATAAAAGATTTAAGAGTTAAAAGTTAAAGAGAATAAGTTATTTGACGTTGGGTATATATATATTCCATAAGCTGCTTTTTTTTGACATTTACCGACAATGCTCGAGAAAGAACGCTCCAGGACGTTCCTTGACGCTCTAAGTCACTTCGAATTGAACATATATATGCACACACGTCCTCGCTCCTCGCGCCGTGTAACATAGCCTTTAGTTTCCCATTATAAGTATTATTTGTACTCATTGTTCAGTGAAATCAATATGCAACTATATCCCCATTCGTATTGTATCACTGTTTAGTAAGTTTATACATATGTATGTATCCCATTTAACATCAGTCTGATAATAATCTTTACTTTTTGCGTTATCAGTTATCGTTATCATATTAAAATCCATAAAAAATGTTACATATAATCCAGTTAATAAAATATATACATATTAAACACTGAACTACAGACAAAAGACAAAACGTCAGAACATTTACTTTAGACTTTGTTTCTTTGTTTCGTGTGGCTGTTTCGGAATTGGATAATACAGAACAGTATTTTACATATCAGAAGGTTTTTGTCTCTTTTTTTTCAGATTTTAAAATGGTTTTTCACGTTCTTGTTATGTATAGAGTATTAACTGATTCGACCTGTAAATAACATTAGTCCTTGACTTATAAATTCAAAATACAGACATAACGTAAAGTATATTAGATTACCATAGGTCATACTTATGTTTGTATGTTTACTCATTTTTATTACATCTCGTTCGTGTACTTAAAAAAAGTGGTCAAACATTACTAAAATACTTTATTAATTGTTGNGACATTTACCGACAATGCTCGGGAAAGAACGCTCCAGGACGTTCCTTTACGCTCCAAGTCACTCCGAATTGAACATACATATGCACACACGTCCTCGCTCCTCGCGCCGTGTAACATAGCCCTTAGTTTCCCATTATAAGTATTATTTGTACTCATTGTTCAGTGAAATCAATATGCAACTATATCCCCATTCGTATTGTAAGTATCACTGTTTAGTAAGTTTATATATATATGTATGTATCCCATTTAACATCAGTCTGATAATAATCTTTACTTTTTGCGTTATCAGTTATCGTTATCATATTAAAATCCATAAAAAATGTTACATATAATCCAGTTAATAAAATATATACATATTAAACACTGAACTACAGACAAAAGACAAAACGTCAGAACATTTACTTTAGACTTTGTTTCTTTGTTTCGTGTGGCTGTTTCGGAATTGGATAATACAGAACAGTATTTTACATATCAGAAGGTTTTTGTCTCTTTTTTTTCAGATTTTAAAATGGTTTTTCACGTTCTTGTTATGTATAGAGTATTAACTGATTCGACCTGTAAATAACATTAGTCCTTGACTTATAAATTCAAAATACAGACATAACGTAAAGTATATTAGATTACCATAGGTCATACTTATGTTTGTATGTTTACTCATTTTTATTACATCTCGTTCGTGTACTTAAAAAAAGTGGTCAAACATTACTAAAATACTTTATTAATTGTTGACAATTTTTTTGCATAAACGTTTAATATATAACTCGAGAGTAGGTACATAAAAACATATGAATCAAAAGTCAAACTTATATATATGCATGCAAAATGCAAACATATAATTGTGTTGATTATTATTATTATTATTTGAACTTTTACCTATGGACGATAATGGGACATAGTTGACCGGCCCGCCCAAAAAGAATTTCCAACTTACGGCCGCAAATAATTACTATGAATAGCAAAAGTCATAATAGTATTATAATGATGATGATGATGATGATAGTGATAATAATATAAGTATGGCAAGTATTATTTTGATATTTTTCCGCATTTCAAATATATATCTCCGTGACAGTTTTAATTATTAATAGTGGTTAATATGAAATATTAATGTGAAAATTCATTTTCAATTTTCCACCCACTACAAACTACCTCAGGTTAATGAGGGAAAATTTTTGTTGCTGTTGTCACACCCCCGCCAGGAATCCAAAATGCAAAAGGTCCCGAGTTCGATTGAAAATTGAAAATGAATTTTCACATTGATATGTTATATCTCCGTTGTAATTATAGTTGTAGTGCTGGAATTGCGGAAAATGAGAGTTGGATAAATAGTTTTTCTTACGATTTTAATTTTGTAAACAGTTTTTGAAAGTACAAAGTCACTCTACAAGTAGCATCTCGATTTTTCGTTTAAAATCCCTGCTGTATGTCTAGCAATAGAAGGGCGCTGATATTCATATCTCTTTCTCTTAACTAAAAACTTTTGGGTGTTCCATTCCCACCAGCCAGTAATGCTGGTGGGCGGGCAGTCCCTCTGGACTATACCGGAAGGTAGGGCGAAAAGCCCTCTTCAGCCTGCTTTCAGGAATCGTGGGAATGGGTGGGTGGTGGTTCGGGTGAGAAAGATGAGACGGACGAAATGAAGACAGAAGAGAGTGAAAGATTATCTGTGGAATATTACTGCCTCAGCATTTGCCTAAGTGATCCAAGGAAACCACAGAAAAACTTGGACCAAGGCAAACGGACCCGAAATCGAACCGGCGTCCTCCCGAATGCTAAGCAATGGTCTTTCTCTTTTGTGCTGAGAACCACTGTGCTACTTTTATGCGCGCGGCCGTTTTAGATGATGTTTGATTACATTTTTTTTACTTATTTTAACAACCATTAAAAGAAAATTGGGGATGCAGTTTTGTAAATTGATATAATATTTCCACTTTCACAATCTTTTTACAAAATTAAAATCGCATCATCCAGAAATAATTGGAGCACGAAAAGCCTCAAACCGATATTGTAAAAAAACTATTTATTTAACAGTGTCTGGTTTTCGCACATATAAAGTAAATATAAATTATTCTTATTTCCCGCAATCCTAGCGCTTTTACTACAGTTATAACGAAAATATGAACTTAAAAAAGAATATTAATACGATTGGTTAGATCCAGGTACCAAATTGTGTAGTTTCAAAGAGACTGCCTCTTTAATTTACATTTTATAAGGTAAAAACTAAAAAAAACGAACATTTCTTTGGTCTTAATTGTTTAAAACAAATTAATCAATAATTAAGCGTTGACAATTGACTATGGTAAACCAACTGCTGCTAGCCGTGGTCGTTGACGGACTTTGATTGTAACATGTGTGTATACCGTATAGGACATTATTAATTTTGTAGCACGAATAACTTGTTCAGAAATTAGGAAAATGACATGAAAGCATGGCTTAATTAATATGACTGACCTTAAATAAATACATGTATTTTCAATTAGTGATAGTTAATTGAATAATTTAATGCTTTCTTTGAGTGAAATTTTTTACTGAGCAGGTTCGACAAAGATTATTATTAATTATGAAATATTTATTATAAATATTTTAAATTGAAATTGAAACTGAAATTTTTGTCATATTAACGATAGAAGTCATCCAAACGTTGTCAAATATTCGTATTACTAACAAAATATTAGTAAA